GTTATTGTAGTTGTTATTACTAAGTCTTTGGTTTACGGTGTTATGTTGTGTTGCAAGTTAGGTTGTTGTAGCGCTCGTCTCGAATTGTGTACTTGATGCAATACGATTCTTGGCAATAACTTCTTGTATCTCAGTGTATTGGTGCACACAAAAGTGTTTTATAACGTTGTAAGTAAATAAATTTTGGGTTGTACCTAATACGAAAAATTGGACGTTACACAAAATTATGTCATCAACTAAAAGCTTGGTTTTTTTCAAGAACCGCAACTCACAACTCCTTTTACTTCATTCCCCCATTGATACATATTCTCATATATCCTCATATATCGAGGTTTTTTCAAGAGAACCTCCTCGTCAATATGCTTTCTGACTATTACCAAGTTTTCTTTTTATCCCAAATCGAACACTCAATCTATTATAAATTTCCACTGACAGCTACAATTAGTTCTCAAATTTTGCTTCCCGTCCCTAGACAAATTCAAGAGAAAAATCAACATCGATTTTCGATCTTTGCTTCTCACCACCATTTATGCATATTTCCACCATTGACTACCGCAACTAAAACTATTGGAGTATATATATTTGGTTCATTGGTATATTGAAATGAAAATCAAGAAACATAAAGTGTAAGTCAACTTTAGGATGTTTTCTAGACCCAACATTGTCATCGAATTACTCGATAAAGAGCACGTCATGAGATGGACCCCAAAAAAATTTAGACACTTTCATTTGAGAAACTAAACATATCACGTATTTTGCAAACAAGAAATGTATAATCTCCTTGACAGCCAGAAAACCCGTTTTAGTAACACTTTTTGTTAACTGAAAAATAAGATCATTTACAGACGAAATTACCCAATTCGGATTTAGAATGACCGCATCCAAGCATAATTATTTACCCAACCAAAGCCTTGAACTATCCTCCAAAAGATCTAATATTTAGCATAATCATCCATTAACGGCTAATTTATTGTCGAGAGGAAGCTATGGTACAATAACTGAAAAATTAGCCACTAGATTCAATATCAGAATCGCAACGACAAATGCCAACATTGACACCTCTTTTGTCTAAATTAACTCCAGTAGGTAAAGGGTACAAATAAAGTCTCCAAGCAAAAAATATCGACTTTGATTTGAATCTAATCAACCTTTCTCCCACCACTAAAACAACATATTCCATATTTTTTGTAGTTTACCCCATCGTGGAAGAACCATTAGAGTCCATACCTTATGATCCTTTGTCGGTTTGATCCAATAATAAAAAAAAAAAAAAAAAAAGGCTCCAGTAGCATGCTCAAAACATCAAATTGTGCCTATTCAGTCCTCCATGTGGATTTCGACGCCAAGAACCTGACCATGTCCTATTGATAAACCGGTTTCTATTTGTGTAGCTTCTCTTAGTTTCTAAGGCGAACAATCTCGAAAATCTAATACATAAAGGACTTTATGAAATCCATATATCATCCTAAATTTTAATAAAGGATCCATTATATATTTATATATGTTATGAACTCATAAAGAAGTTGGTTCATTTAAGAACCTACGTCACCATTTACAAATAAGATGCCAATTAAAAAACATATACTTTCAATTCCTAAACCATCATCTTAATCTGGATGCTAAATTTTTTCCACGATATTATCCATCACATCTTCCTTTTCCCATCTTTCCCAAGAAAAATAAAAAGTGATCTCAGATTCTCTAATAAATTGATAACTTAATCTGGAGCTCTAAACATCAACATGTAACAACCACTGAGACACCCTAACATCGCTTTTAGAAAAATCACCTTCCACCAAAAAAAAAAAAAAAAAAAAAAAACACTTTCCAATTAGAACGTTTCTTTATGAATTCAATTTACAAACAATAAACTTTCGCTTGTTTCCATTTGACATATTTTAATTTTTTTACCAACCGGTAAATCGAGGTAGGTAAAAGGAATATTAGTCGTGGTACACCCCACAATTGAAAGTAAATGTTCCACCTTTTGATTATTGATCCCCATGATGTTACTTTTATGGAGATTTATTTTCAACCATGATACAAATAAAATCAACGAAGAATCCACACAAGAGATCCAACTTTAGGACGACTTTCCTAAAAAAAACATAATGTCATCTTCAAAGAATAATTTAGAAATCTCTATATCTTCCGTACCGACCTTAGCAACACAAAAAATATGATGTTCAATAGTCTCCTTCATATGAAGGACACATGCAATCCATCCATTGCACAAAAATGATTAGTGTAATGTTTGTTTTATGATTAGCGTTTCATAATGTCTAAACAATTTAGACATTTAACAAATTAATTTAAATAAAATATTTATCATTATTTGATTATTATATAATTTAATAATTATTTATTATTTAAGTTATAAATAAATGTATTCATGTTTATATAATATTGAATATTTTTAGTTTAAATAATTAAGATATTATTTAAAAATTATAAAATAGTTGTCAACATATCAGTACAATATGTTTATTTTTTATATGTAATTATCAAAACTGATATAACACGATTAGAATATCATTCATATTGTATTGTTGTGGATGTTCTTATGAAATATTAGAGTTAAATTCTAAAATCTTTTAATATTCTATGGAATTTAATAAAAACTTAAAAAGTGGATTGTAAATTTATAATAAACTGCTAGCTAGTCATGGATTATCTTAAAGCTACGTCATATTAATAGGGTCATTAAAATCAATTTGTCGTAGATGATCATATCTCACACAATGTAATAGAGTTTCATATATTTACAAAATTAGTTGTGAGACTCATGTATTACATGGGTTAATTTAAAAAAAAAAAGTTAAATACAAATGTGAAAATATTTGAGAACTTTAAATTTATAAGAAAATACGAAAAATAATGAACTATTATAATGAAAATGTTTTTTATCTTTTAAATTTAAATAAATAAAAAAAATTAATGCATTTTAATTTTGGGAATTTTGAAATCAAAAGGTAAATTCATTAATGAAAGTGATATCAATTATTTCAATTATTACATTAAAATATTATGTGAAATTTAATAAAGTAGAAAAACTCATAAAATGACATGTGGAAAAAAAATTTATTCAAAATAACCACAAAATGACATTTGACAAATTAAATGAGAGTGTGACAAGTGATAAAAAAAAACTTTCATTTATTAGAGTAGATGTATACAATGATTTACGATAATAAACTTACTATTTATTACTATTATTTTATGAAAATTTGTCTAAAATGTTTCATAAATAAAAACTATACCGTTATTATATTAACACTTTGTTTGGGGCGTTATGTGATAGCTGTAAAGTTAAAAAGTTACCTGATAAAAAACGCTTGATAAAACCAATTGATTGCGTTGTTGCTAGTTTATATATGTTTTTGGTAATGAATTAATTGCGTTGTTGCTAGTTGATATAACAAAAGTTGATAATATCTCTCTCATATTTCATGAAATTCAATAACAGTAACGTTATATCTTATATCATCATATATTTTATATCTGTTATGTTATATCTTATTTCCTCAATTAGTACTCACAAGCTTAGGATTCCGAGCCAAACAAACCAACCATCTATTCTCTCCAATTATAGGATCAATCACCCTTCTCTTCAACTCCTCCCTTATCGACCTCTCACAACCACCATCCCTCTCCATCACAGCCGCCTTCAATGGCGACAGCGGCGACACCATTTTTTCCGGCCACTCCATATCACCTTCAACAATCTGGTTCACCATTTCCAACACTTGGCTCATTCTTGGCCTCATTCTTGGTTGTTTAAGTAAGCATTTGTTAGCAACAGCAGCCAGCTTTTGTGCAGACTTTAGGGAGTAGTTTCCAGAAAGCCGAGGGTCCAAAATCATTTGAAATTTCCGCATGTCTTGAGTGATGTGTGGTCTTACCCAATCCAATAGTTTTTGCTCATTTTTTGGCTTGTTTAGATCCAATGGTCTTCTACCCGTTATAAGTTCATATAAAAATACTCCATAACTCCATACGTCACTCTTGTAAGTGAGTCGCCCTGTTTGTATGTATTCAGGAGCCGCATATCCTACTGTTCCAACTACCTGTTTTTATCAAGAAAAATGACATGTATTTGAATATGGCAAGTGAGGGCATTATGGTAATTTCACAAAACAAAAAAAGAAAAAGAAACGTACAGCTGTCGAGACATGGCTAAGACCATCGGAAGGACCGAGCCTAGCCAATCCAAAATCTGAAAGCTTCGCGTTCCAATTCTCATCCAAGAGAATATTCGAAGATTTGAAATCTCTAAAGATTATCTGTTTCCATAACACAACATTTCAACCATTTAATCTCATAATCTAAAATGGTAAAATGTAGTCTGCCGAAAGGGTACCTGAAATTCCATTTCTTCATGGAGGTAAGCTAAACCTCGAGCAGCATCCTGTGCAATTTTCAGTCGCGTTGACCATGGAATTGGTGTTTGAACTCTGCTACATAAATGATCTTGAACACTCCTGTTTGGCATATATTCATACACAAGAAGACGTTGAATCCCTCTTTCATCATCCTCGGCACAATACCCAATGAGTTTGACCAGATTCGGATGATCAACAAACCCTAGAACATTCACTTCCGTAATCCATTCCTTGTGGCCCTGAACATTACACAAAAACTAAGCAAAAACTACATAAAATCAAATCAATTAATCATACATGAAATCCAGAAGAAGAAATCAACCTGCAACCCCCTTCTTCCAAGTTGCTTTACAGCAACATCTATTTTCTTATTCGAACCATCTGTGGTTCGTAGAACAGCCCGATAGACGCATCCGAAACCGCCTTCTCCGATTATTAGGGCACGGCTGAAGTTTCTGGTGACGGATTTGAGCTCGGCGAATGTGAATACTCTGATATTATTGTTACTGTTACGACTTGGTCTTTGAGTCAAGGTTGTGAATGAAACCCTGGTGGAGGATTCGTTGCTGACGTCAGAGGCGTCAAGGGAAGTGAATCCTGACCCTGATTTCGTCTCATATTGACCGTTGGATATGGAAGGTGATGAATTGGAGGTAGATTTTGTAGTCTTTGTATCATTGGTTTTGTCTCTATGGGAGAAGGAGAAACATCTCATGCCTTTCATTGCCTGAAAAATTATGGTTGGTTTTGTAAATTATTTTTGGACAAATTTAGACATTTAAAAGGAATAAAACCATGAGATTTTGACTTTTTTTTT